ATCATTTAAGCATTTAGACAAATAACATTCAATAATAATAGCCACAAATAATGATAACAATAATAATAATAACAATAATCCAAATTATTCATAAACGAACGGGGCGTCACACTCGGGCACTTCGGATTCGAGCTGCTCGGTATACTCTGGACAACAGAACCCTGTTCAAAAGAGGATATTCAGTCCCGCTTCTGAAATGCTTGACCGAACCTGAGTCTCGCTATGTTCTTGAGAAGGTATATAAAGGAATTTGTGGAACTCACTCCGGTACCCAGACCTTCTCTTACAAGATTCTGCGACAAGGGTATTATTGGCCAACATTGAAAGCCGACGCTGCAGCTTGGGTCTGTAAATGCCCAAAGTGCCAAATTTTCGCACCTAACACCCATCAATTCCCCGAAGTTCTCAAGTCCGTCTACAGTCCTTGGCCTTTCTCTAAATGGGGGATTGATCTCATCGGTCCCCTACCTACCGGAAAAGGCGGTGTCCGATATGCCATTGTCGCTGTCGACTACATCACTAAATGGGCTGAGGCAGAATAGCTGGCTACGATAACCGAGCAAAAAATTGTCGATTTCATATGGAAGTCAATCATCTGCCGCTTCGGAGTACCTAACTCTATCATCACTGACAACGGTCGACAGTTCGAAGGCAAGCGACTTGAAACTCTTTGCGAAGAGTACGGAATCAAACATTTCTTCTCCTCGCCTTATCACCCGCAGTCAAACGGTCAGGTCGAAGTCGTCAACAAAGTCATAAAAAATGGTCTCAAAGTCCGCCTCGATGCTGCAAAAGGGGCCTGGCCGGAAGAGCTGCCGCACGTCTTATGGGCATATCGGACAACCACGAGAACTTCCACGGGTGAAACTCCCTTCTCATTAACATACGGTTCAAAAGATGTCGTTCTAGTCGAACTCGGTGCCCCAACTTACCGAATTCAAAATTACACCGAAGACTCCAACTCGGACAATATGAAGGCAAACCTAGACCTACTTGAAAAACTTCGTACTCGCGCCGAACTCAAAAATGCTGCTTACAAACAGAGAAGCGAGAGGTACGTCAATTCCAAATTCAGGCCCCGTATGTTCTGAGTTGGAGATCTGGTTCTCAAACGAATCACGGGGCTTGACCCCGGCCCACTTAAACCGAAGTGGGAAGGACCTTTTAAGATCATTCAAGTGTTGCCCCACGGAGCTTACCGAATTGAACATCCGGACGGAACTCCCCATCAATATCCGTGGAATGCCGTATCAGTGAATCATCCGAAATCATGCAGCAGACTTTCCTTTTGGCGAACCCTCCTTTTGCTCCTACGAGGGAAAAAAAGTCATTCTTTTGCTATACCGAAGTTTGAAGACTTCCACTTATAAATCCGAGCAACAGCTCGGTACCAATGTAAACGTTTTGACACTCGGTTTTATCAATATCTTGTACCGATGTAAACATTTTGAGACTCGGTTTTATCAATATCTTGTACCGATGTAAACATTTTGACACTCGGTTTTGCTGACGCCTTGTAATACATCCAAACCCACGTATGGTTTGGTTGGGCTAAAGCTCGTCCACGTCACTTCAGCTAACATGATTTGACGGGCCCCATTGACAACCGAATATACACCATACAACTTGGTTGGGGCCATTCCATAATCGAACCGTGACGAAGTTCGGTGAACCTATTTTGAACTCGAACGCAGCATGAACAGCGATGAGTTATGCAAGTTCTTTAACAACTTGCACATCGGTTACACTATAACCGAATTTATTATAAAGGTCAGGTTGTGCTCGGAAATCATTTTATTCAAATCTTGCAACTCGATTTAAACTCAATTTATTATAAAATGCTTATGCTCGAACTACTTTCCACGAGTTAATACCGAGTTGGAATTTTAATCTTACGCAGTTTCCGAGCTCATCACTCTTGGTCTTTAAATTTGCTAAAATCAAACAGCAATACGGACAACTTGTAATGATTCGAAACACGGTTGTTCATTGCATCGAAAGTTCAGAGTACATTATATTATCCTACTAAGGGCATCATCACCATGATACCCCGCTGCTTTATAAAATCAAACAGCAATACGAACTGTAAAGTGCTGAAACATAAAAAATATTTAAAAACTTCAGGCGTCATCCTCTTTATCCTTTTCACCTTGGCCAACATCGCTGCTTTCTCCGATGTCCGGGCCAGCCGTAGTCGCCAACAGCTGCTCCTGAAGATGCTCCAGTAAGGCAACTTCTTTAGCTCTTGCCGCCGCGTCAATAGATGCGTTAGAGACTGGGACAAACTCATGTCAGGGATCGGTCGCATCCGCTGGCACTTTATCCACTTCGGGTACGACTTCGACTTCTCCGATCTCTTTGTTCTTCAGCTTAGCCTTCTCCTCGGCATAAGCTGCAACGGTCTTTCAGATTTCTTTCGGAGTCATATCTTTGAAGCTTTGCTCAATCACCACATCAACAAGTGTCTCGATATAGAGGTCGGCAAGCTCCCTTCGATTCTCCTTTTTGCCCTCTAGGATCATGTTCACGTAGGACCGACGCAGGAGAGCTTCGCGCTCTTTTGAAAGAGGTGGAAGATTGGTTTTCTTCGTGAAGTCCTCGGCGCGATCAAGCATCAAGGCACAAAACTCTCGCTTATCTTCATCAGCTTCAACATGCATGCCTTTGATCTTCATATCGAAACCATACTTCTCCAATTTATGAGACAAAAAGATGCAGAGTTCGTCAACATCGTAGAATCCGGCGCTGCACCACTCGATCACCCAACGGAGGTTGGCGCACGTATTCATCTCCATTTCCAGATCGGGGCCGACCTCACCTTCCACATCGGTTTTGGCAGCAGCCTCAACATCTTCTTCACCGACTTGACCTACACCCGCTGAAATCGAGTCCTTTCCCGCCTGGAAGCCGTTTTCATACATGAACTCGCCATAAGACGACTTCTTTTTCTCAAGTTTAGCCATCTCGGCTTGATGAGCATCACGAGCTCGGGCCATAAGCTCTAGAGCTTCGACATATTTTTGTAGTTTTCTTCGTGCTCGACTTTCTCTTTCAACAAACTCTCATTTGCCTCATTGGCATTGACCTCAAGTGCCTTGGTATGTTGTTCGGCAATAGCAAGACGATTCTTTAGCTCTTCCACTTCAGTCTGAAGAGATTTCTTTTCTTCGGACAATGCTGCAATCTTATTTTGCACCACTTCAAGCTGCGCATTCTGGTCAGCAATTTTCCCTTTCAAGTCAGCCTCCAACTTGGTTGCATCTTCCTTTAGAGACGCGATTGTCCCATCTCGTAAGGCCAAGGTGTGTTTCTTGCCTTCCAATTGCGCCGCAATCCGACTGTGATCATCCTCAGCCGCCACCAGACTCACCAAGGCTCGCCCCGTGCATGCCTTGGCGTAGCTTAACTTCTGCGTGTTTGACAGGGACGACACTCCCACCTCAGATTTTGGGTCCCACGCCATTAAAGGTACCCGAGCAGCATTCTTAGCATTCTCCGACATCCCAATCCTTGACGACATGTGAGGCGTTCTCACTGACTGAAAGGTAGTAAACCAGTCTTCCACAACTCCTTTAGGAAGGTTCAAGTTCGCCACCCTCTCATCATCAATCGATAAGAAGGACTTCTCAAACATGGGAGACTCATCACCACCCTTCTCCTTATCTCGCCGACTAGAGTCGTGTTTCTTTTTTGTTCTCCCCTCTGCGGCTGTGGACGTCTCTCTGGCGGACATCTTAACTAGCTTTCTTTTCTTTGTCTTTGGTTGAGAATCTTCAGGAGACTTTAGAGGCGGCTGTCGCTCCTCTGGCCCTTCCACCGACATCTTGGTACCTGTCGGCTCCGCCAAAACCAACTCGTTTCTTACCGGATCTTCTTTCGGCTCAGCTTGATTAATTGCCACCGCATTGATAACCGGTGGGATCTCACAAGATACCGCTTCTTGCTGAGACGTTGGACTTTCTAAGTCAACCACCAAAGTCGCACCAGCTCCGATGTCGGCTGACTTCCGCTAGCAGTCCTCTTTACCAAAGCTCTAACCAAATCTCTCCTCATAGCGTCAGTCAATCTCAGATCCTGACTTTTACCGAATTTCGACTGAAGGTCCTTATTCAAAAAACGGCGCCTAAACTCTTTGGCTTCCTTGACAGTTCGGTAGCCAGAAAACCCGAGCAATGGGTAGTATACTGCACAAACCCAAAATTCACAAAGTCAACTATGATCGCTTTAACTATTCCGGAGTATCAATCAAACACAACAAACCAACTCATC